GGGGGGGGGGGGAAGATAAAAGTAGATTTAGTCTATGTGGAAAAGAAAACTATACTATAATTATAATGATTATTACTACTATTATTTGGAGTTCTAACCTTCTAAGAGAAGCAACAAATTCCTGCCTTGTCATGCTCTTCATTTCTTCAAGCTCCTTCTCATAGTTCAATACCTTCAAATATATAGATCACGACTTCAATATTAAATTTCAATGTAGAGGAAATAAGAGAAAGTAATTAGAAAATTCTTTATTTTCCCTTCTGAGATTTGGTTCTAAATTTCCTTACCGGAAAGTTAGTGGTGGTGGTCGGACCCCAATACTTGAGAGCAGCAAGATCATAAGCTCTAGCTGCTTTCTCTTCTTTATCATAACCACCTAATCATAAAAAGATGTAAAAGAATATTAGGTTATAAAAAATCTTATACAAAGCATTAGAAAATAAGAATCCAATGAGAATCTAAAGCCTTAAACGTACACATTCATTGCAAAATGAATCTTCTGTAACACAGTAATAGTAAATGAATGAATTTGGATAATGGAGATTTCAGTACTCACCTAAGTAAACTGAAATTCCGCAATGATGATTTTAATCGTCCAGAGCCACAATCATTCGGTTGTACAATATTGACATAGAAAGAAACAAAATTAGTCCATATTCCTCTTTGTGCATATCATATCATATAAGTACTACAATCTTTTCTTTCGAAGATTCACTTCAAATCTAGAGATAATTTTCCACGGTAAAGAGAAAAACTATGCGTTACTAGTATTTATCATATACTTTCATGTTGAAACAAATAAAATCTTTAACTTCTATGATATTTGGATGACCTTGCAAAAATAAAAAATTTAGAAGAAATTAAACTTTTTAGTAGAACTCTCCCCTTAAATGATAAGCTTTGAAACAGAAAGGAAGTTGCCGGAAACCCTAAAATGCATACCTTGCCTTCCTTTTCTACTTTGTCCTTCTCTTCTGCAACTATTATCCCACAAATGAGCTTCATATCTTCCTGTCCATCTATGTCTAAAGCACATCCCGAAAAGAAAGCACAAAATCATTATAGTATATCTAAATCCATTAATAAGTTCCAAAAAGAATAAAAACCATTAATGTAAGTCTTTAATTATATATATATATATTCACCTAGTAACACCTCTGTAAATAGAGGTGCGTTGTCCAAAGGTCTCGACTGCCTTCTTAGCCGGCGGCAACGCCACCACAGCCAACTGCTTATTCTGCGAATTATTTTGATCAGCAGAAAAGCTACGTAGAAAACTAGCGGCTATGGTCTTCAGCTCAGAGCCATATTCACATAGAGAAGTAGTAGTTGTTGTTGTTGCTGGATTTTCCCAACACACTTCAGTAGCTGCAGCAGTAATGCTTGAGGTTCCTCCCAAGAAATCCTCAAGCTTTGGCGGACCATCAGCACCTTTTCCATTTTCTTCCACTCCGCCTATACGTACAAAATCACATCCATACTTGTTGATCAGCCTTTACAACAAATTTAAAAGTTGAACGATATGAGATCATTTAAAACACAACTACATATACAGTTCATATTAAATTAGATTAATAATCTGAAAATTAAAGTAATTAACTCGCCAAAATAGGTTAAAACACTTGTCAATCTTTTTTACATATAGGGTATATAGGCATACAAGTAAGAAGTTATAATTTCATGAGTGCAATAGTACGTACTGTAATAAGAACCCTAAAGGTTGATGAGTCAGACCCATCAATATTTAAACTTGAATCACTTTATAGTTAAGTGTATACTATAGGTTAAATCATATACTATCAATATATCATGTCTATACAGCTAAAATGCTTCTTAGAAGATCTCTATGCGTTTAGCCAGCCATAGAGATTTATACATACACAGTGACAGAGATCCTACATGTAAGTTACATGTAGGATCTTTGTGATAGAGAAGTCGAAAATAAAGAAGAGTGAAGAAGGGAAAAATACTATTAGGTTTGGAGTTGAAAGCTTGGAAGAGGCAAAGTTCTGAAGAATTATTAGAAGGCAAGTTAATGCTGCTATTGTTGTTGCTGTTGCTGTTAATATTGGAAAGTGAGAAGCCAAGCCAGTTCTCAGAAGAAGAATCCATATCCATTATCGTCGGTGAACGGGAAAGACTTTCTTTTTTCTTTGGGAAACAGCGCTATGCTTACTAAACACTGCCTGCTCTACTTATTTTGTTTTCCCAAGAACTGATTGAAGATTTAACTTAGACTGGAAATTACACGCTTAAATCTATGTGAAAGAGTAAGACATTAATATAGAGATATTATCTGTGTTAGATAGATGTGTACAGAGAGAGGGGGGAGATAACTATGCACGAGAACCGAGGCGTCTCTCTTGTGGGGATATACTAAATGGTTGAAAGATAATAATTTCTGTTCATATTTATTTAATTTGTTATGTTAAGGTGAGATTAGAGAGTTTTTTTCACATTGATTAACGTTGAAAGAGAAAGTAAAACAATGGACACTTTGCCAATGATTTTACATGAATTAATCGAGATAATATATAGAATAATCGAGACTGAGGATTACTACTTGCAGATGGTAGACAATATTGTCTAAATAGAAAGAAAAGAAAATTAAAGTTAAGTACAATATAATGATCTCTGAAGTATTGTTTCATCATATTTAACTAAGTATCAGAGTTTTGCTATGTCACGTTAATCCAGTTCAATCTCATGAGATTTTGGGCATAAGTTTGTCTAGCAATTGCGTTCTTCCTAGTTTAGAAATAGTACATCAGATACGAACGACGAAAGATTTTGGATTTACGCTGATTAATTATCGCTAATTATATATGCTCATAGTTCGAGGAAAGAAAATATTAGCGCGATTTATGAAACTAAAAGATGGTATTTATAACATAATATAATTGAAAATCTAATCTATCCTGATCATGTCAACAATCGCTTGAAGATAATTAAGTTGAATTAATGTCTATCATGCATGTTAATGACATGACAAATTAATTCTGATCTAAAGTTGAATGTGCTAAACAGAATAATCTGTTTTCATATTTTTTTCCTCATTTGTTAATGTAATGTTGCAGTCTTTACAGTGCATGAATGTGTAAACAAACAAATAATGCAGAGGAAAGCAAGTGGAAGGATATTATGGAATGACTGGGCGGTCTCTCTTGTCTGTCTCTTGACCGAAGAAAGCGAAAACTTTATTAGGAGAAAAAAAAGTTTTGAGACAAAAAGAGAAAAAGATAAAGGGAAAGGGAAGAATAACAATGGGATGAGAGAGAGAAAGTGTAAAAAAAAGATTGTGTGTATGTGGGGAAGCAAGAGGGAGGAGAAGGGGACACTAAGGACGAGTAGTAAATAATTTCATTTGGTCCCATTGTTTAACGCGTGTCTATTCTGATTATTTTATGTACATATTCATTCTTCATCAGTGCGTCGTCTACTCTATGGGTGTTAATCGGGCCGGGCTGATCCGTTTTCAGCCCGCTTCAGCTCGGTTCAGCTCGCTATTGTTCACGTTGGGACGGGTTGGGAAGGGGGCCGGGTTGTGTACGTTCATGTTTAGACTAATCGTGCCCCGAACCCGTTAAACCCGAATTTCCTTAACGGGCTGAACACGAGCTGCAACCCGTTAGCAGCCCGGTTTCCGTTTGAAATTTTTTTTTTTAATTAAATTGGACCGTTCCCAACGGTCAAATTCAGAAATGACCGTTGGGGAAC